CAGTCAATCAATATACATAGGCAATTATTGTATGACTGCTTGTACAGATTGATCTCATGGTTTTTATACAAATGCCTGTATATGCACAGATGTTTTAAAAACTTGGCATTTTTAATTGTAGACAGTTAGAGCCAAAAAAAAACAGCTAAAACTACTCTTACATTACATACATACACATGTACATACACGCTAGCTCCATGGACGGACGCTAGCGCGTGTGTGTATTTGTTTCATTCTGACTTTTGGGTCTGTTTATCATGTTCTCTCGCTTGTGCAGCTATGTACAAAGTGAGACTCCCGTTCTTATATGCGTCGCGTGCTTGTACAAAGGTGTATGCGTGTTTGTGTGTATGAGTGTGCGCTGCGTGTAGTGAAGTTAAAAAATGTGTACATACATACATAGTATATTTGTGAATAATGTTTTGACACTTGGCATTATTTTCCTTAATTATGATTGTTGTAGCTGTTCCACAAAAAAATAGTGAAAGGGGGAGGAAGCCGCATGGGGCGAATGTTTAAGGTGTGTGTTTTTTTGTGTGTGTGTTGGGAGTGGAGTGTTTCTGTGTGGCGCATCTGCGCAGTTTGCATGGACCTATACACACACACATGCAGAAAGTTACGCAGTGATCAAAGACTGCAAAGGGCGAGGGGGTTTGGAGCATACATATGTCTGTATATATGTATGTACGTTTGTATGATGTATGCATGTACATAAGCCTTGAACGATCGAAAAATCTCCCTCTCACTTGCTGGCGATTATGGGGCGTGGCATTGAGGAATTATTGTGAACAGCTTACACACACATATACATATGTATGCATGTACGTACATACATACAAATGCATCAACAGCAGCAGCAGCATTAGGCCAAAACCACAAACATTTTGAGCCCTGAAAAACATTTTCTCTTACGTTTTGATGGAACATTTACAACTTTTAGTGATTTATAACATTTCTGTTCGATTAATTTTCGGTTATGTGATGGGTTCTTTGCTTTTGTTTTTTGGGTTTCTTGTAGTTTTTTCTTTGTTGTTTCTCTTTCTGCTTGTCGCTTTTTGGCGTCGTTCCCGCTCTGCTTACATAATGGAAGTGGTACAGTAGGTGAATAAAGATATGTATGTATATATAGGAACTATATGAAGCTATACATATACATCGACATACATATGTATGTATATCGTAGTAGCGGCGCAGTAGATGTTTGTGCACATACATACATATGTACATATATGCATGTTTAGGTACGAAAAAATAGCATTTCGTAAATCGAATGCATCGTTCAAGATTTTTCTTTTGCTATATATGTACATATATGTACACGAACGTGTGGTTGGGTTTATGTGTATGCGTGCGGGTCTGGCGCTCGCTTTCGCTCTGTTTTTCTGCCTGGGGCCCTGGCCTCAGTATCTCTTTCTCTCTCTCTCTCTCTCTCTCTCCCTTTTCTTCATTCTGTGACGCTCATAGACAGAATACAATATACAAATACATTAAATTAATAAAACTTCTTCGTCCAACATAAGGCGTTGTGAACAGTTCAACAAATTTCTACTAGATGAGTGTGACCGCGGGTTTATCGATAAGGTATACGGTCCGACCCTCAGAAATATACCGAAACATACCGTCTCATTTAAAAATATACCGTAAATATACTGACGAGTTCAAGTTATATTTTACATATTCCTCGTTTTTGATATTCTGTGGAGTTTTACTATCTAAAAAAAACATTTGGCACTGCCCACATAATTTTATCCGATTAAGGAATCAATTTTCTACTTGACTGGTTTGTTTTAAATACTTGATTTGTTTTCTTGCTACGGCAGTTGCTGTTTATGCCCTTCAACTACAATACACCGTCTCGTATGATGAAAAACCGAACTTATCCCACTTATGCCCCCTCTATTTAAATAGTTGGACGTTGTCATGCAATAACTGCATCTTTCAAGAGGCGATGCAGTTACTGCACCGTCAAATGGCCTGTGTGAAACCAGCGGAAGGCTGTTACGCGCGGATCCCAGGCAAAACGCAGCCCTCCTCCCGCCCAACCTACCGAGGGGCGCTGCCGCATAGCGCGCGGCGCGTAGCCGAGCCGAACGCGAGCATGCAGGAAAGATAGCTGTTAGACTAACATTCGAGGAAAATTAGCACTAAACTTACTAAGAAACTAAGCATGCAATCAAAATACAAATACCACTACAATTACCAATTACTAGAAAGGTGTGTAAGGATTAGTAATTTAATAAGAGGAAGAGAATTAGTGGTGGATATAATATGGTAGAGGGAATTATAATCCGCTTGAGGTAAATGGCAAAAACTATTAACGATTGTAAATTCTTCTTGTAGATCCATCCTATCCTTCCCTTTAACTTGCAAAAAACCCCACGAACTTCACCTGAACTGCGCTAAAATGATTAAATTTTCATTATTTTCGGTGGAAAATTTAAATACCCCCTTGGCTTATAATAGGTTAATCGTTCTCCATCAAGGATTGGAAACCATATTGCTTAATTTTAATGTTCCGTCAAATATTATAAGCCAGATAGAACATTTAGCCATGCCCACATAGTTTTATCAGATTAATAAATTAATTTTCTACTTAACTGGCTTATTCTAAATACTTGCTTTTATTGCATTTTTTGTAAAAAAAGATTTTAGCGAAAATGGTCAAACAAAAAAAAGTTTTACCGAAATAGGTCAAGACAAAAAAAGCGAAACAGGATAGTCGTTCATATTGTTCAATTTGTATATTCCCTTGAATAATTCTGGCTAAATAAAACCCTCGGCCATGCGCAATTAGTTTTATCCCATTGATGAATACATTTTCTACTTAACTGTTTATTCTAAATACTTGCTTTTGTTGTTTTTTGACTAAAACAAGGTTTAAGAAAAATATTTTACCAAAAAACAGTCGCAGTGCTGCCGGTATTTGAAGGCATGTGGCGTGTGGGCCGTTACATACCCTATTTCGTTAATTGAAAAAGAAGATATGAAGATAAAACGTAATCACTGAAGATCATTTCACAAAATTATGTTTTAGAAATTTTCATGCATATGATCAGTGTCTTGTATATATGTACATATATCCCGATCCGGTGCATATTCTTTGTCTCTGTAAAAAACAATAAGCTTCCAAATATCGTTATGATAGTTTTAAAACAGGGACTGACTAGTTTCTGCATTAATTAGAGCCTTGGATTACAAAAATTTCCGCAATTCTATAATATGCATTTCCTAGGGTATGAAAATTCGTGTTGGCCGCAACATTGTGCATGAATGAGACTTAGAATGGTCAATGAAAATCGTCAAAATGGCAATGCAAAACATGTTGCTGCAGCATTACTTTTTGCATAACATTTTTGACGATTTTCATTGGCCGAAAGCAAAAATTGGGTCGTTCCCGTTTTAACCGGCTCGGTATATTTAAACCTACGCATGATAAACTACGTTTATATGGATATATTGTAGGAGGTGTATATCAAAAACATATTAAAACTAATTTATCAATTTTAATACTAGTCCCTGGGCTTCGTTAAAGTGACCAACTTGGCAGGAAACGGCCGTAATAGGCCGTGTTAACATTCCCCAATAATTGCGCCCTATTCACCCTTAGCGACTATCCGAATGTCTCTAGTTTTCGGCTATTAAAGTGGCTCAGCCTGAATGGTAGGTCCTGAAGGTCCAATTTTTGCCGAATAACATTCTGAATCTGCATCACCTATTGAATATGAACATCACGTAAATTTCCCGTTGGGTTGACCTTTTCAGTGGTATAGATCAATCGCCACCCTATACAGTACATAATTTCAAAGTATGGAATGGGACTCATTGTTGTGAAAGTGTTGAAAGTGAATGAGTGACAAGAATAAAAATTTAATAAATTGATTAAATGCGCCATTATATACTGATATGTTCATATGTAGGGTTAAGACCCAAGGGTTGAGTTAAATTTATATATGTATATTCATAAATCCATATACAGCTTGGGTTGAAAATATATTTTTGTGGAACATAAGCGGAACTACTTGTCTGAATTTTGTGAAAATCAACACTATTTTTCTGTAGTTTACGGCTTTTAACTCAGATAAGCCAATTAATGAGTATAATGATTGATGCACAGAGTCGCTGCAAAGAACATATCAGCTTTTTTTGGAAAATAAGCGGAACTTATAGGGGTTTTTATTTTGAAAATTATATAGCCGAGTGTGATATCAATTTTGAAATAGCCAACTATGGTTACAAATATAATTGTTCCGGCAAAAACATAGAAGTCTAGAACTGTGTACATATATAGTTCTCTATAATCCTAAGTGCTTAGGAAAGTATTCTAAGGCTGCGCTCACGCATACCGTGCACAACAAGACTTGTCAGCCCGGCTGGCCTGCGATGCACCGCCATCGATACCCTAAATAAAATACCTGCGGTGTACAGATTGCTGGTAATGAACGACAATTTAAATAATCTTTTGTTAAAACCCAAATAGCTGCTTGCTCTTAATGCCTGTAAATGAATATGTTTTTTTTTGTACCCTTACCTTTTCACGTTTTTCTTTGTTCGAATTTATTTGAACTTATTTTTTTTGCAAGTTTTCGCTTCCGAATTTTTTTTTTCTCAATTATTTTCGTTTTGTTTTTTCTATGCAAACCAATGCTTTGAATTGCTTACATTAGAATGAAAATAGAGTTGTCATTTAAAGAAAGTTGTATGTAAGGAAAATGCATTTGCAAGGCATCCTTGTGTGTTCGGATGATAATAGATACATATGTACATACATATGTATGTATGTGTATATATTTATTGATAGCATATATATGGGGCCGAAATTTTGTTGTCTGTACTACGTACATGCGTAAAGAATTCGATCATATTTGATTTATTTTTAGATTGTTTTCGGCGCGCAAAGGTCCGCACGTCTTAAGAAAGTAATTAAATATTTTCAACGTACATTTTCTGCGCGCATTTATATGTCATACATACATATGTATGTGCCGATGACTGAGCCCGATCAGCTGTTTTCTGTGATGGTGCTATTGCGTGAGTGGGTCGATTAACAAAACAGTGTGTTACTTTTCGCTATTTCGTGTTTTCTGTACTTCTCCACCAAACACCATGAGCGGCCACAATATCTTGACGCAATTGGAGAGTATCGATGTCCTCGATCTGCCTTATGTGGAGCGCGATCTGAACTCTGCTCAACTGGTGGGTAGCCCAGACACAGACAGCAATCATGTTGTAATCTGCTTGTTTCCTTTAGGTGAGCCTGTCCTTCCTGCTGTATGGCGACGAGCATTCCACTGCCACGTATATTTTGCAAAAGCTCCTGGTGTTGACCCGCGCCGCTGCCTCCGACTGGCCGCCCACCGACATCTTGAGCCAGTATGCCAAATCCAAGCCCCAAACCTGGCGCAAATATCTCGTGGAGGCTCTGTGTATCATCGGGGCGCGGCAGGTGCTGCGCAAACTCGGACTCTGCTGGCAGGAGCTGCGCATGCACTACCTACCCCACGTTGGCAGCATCCGTGTGCATATCCATCCGCTGTTAAAGAGCCTGTACACGATCTGTGAGGAGTTGTCGCTGGCTCAGAGGGGTCGAATGGTGCTTGATATCAAGGAGAAGAACAGCGTCGGGGATCCGCTGCGCTTCTATGACCCTGAATATCTGGAGATCTTTTTACTTGACTGGCTGACGCGACGTCTGATACGGCTGGGCGACATCAATGCCAACGGCAGTGATGTTCAGCTGCTAATCGAATACTTCAAGTTCAACGATCTGCATGCCCAGGCCACGCTGCTCGTCGATACGGTCAACGCTTATGCCACCTCCAGCTGCTCCCCTGCAACACCGAATGTGCTGCTTCCAATGGACGGCAATGGCATTGCCAACGAAAGCTCCACCCCTACGGCGGCTGCGTCCCGGCCCCGGGCCAAGAATGCACTTCAGCTGAGTCGCGAGAATGCTGGCATTGCGCTGATAATCAACCAGCAGAAGTTTTACCGGGATGGCAGCGATGATCACAAGGTGCCAATGAAATTAGAATCTATCGGACGCCACTACTGTCGTCGGCGAAGGTGACTAAAGTGTTTCCATTCTGCTCTTGCAGGTCTACTTGCCGCCAATTGAGTTGCCGCCACGCAATGGCACCGATATGGACAAGCAGCGGCTAACTAATGTCTTCTCCAAGCTTGGCTACAGGGTTGAGGCCCACGATAATCTCGACCATCTGTCAATGCTCCATCATATACGGCAGGCCTGTCAGCGGTCCCTGCTGCACGAGTCTCTGGTGTTGTGTATTCTGTCGCACGGCTTTGAGGATGCTGTCTATGGCTCTAATAGCGTTGCTTTGCGCATATCGGATATCGAGAATGTACTCTGTAGCTATAAAAATCTGTACGAAAAACCAAAGCTTGTCGTCATCCAGGCGTGTCAGCAGGAGGACAAGGAAAACAATTCCCTGCCGGTAAAACCAAATGTCAAGCACACACCCATGATTTCCACTGATTCTTCGATTGTTTGTTGTGTCCTTTAGTACAAGATCGATGCCAGCACAAAGTCACCCTTCCAGTACTTGAATATGCTGCGAGCCATGTCCACTGTGCCCGGTTTTCCAGCGCTGCGACACACCCAGACAGGCAGCTGGTTTATTCAATGTCTGTGCGATGCCATTGTCGAGCATTCGAATAGGTAATCCACGGACGGCAATACCCAATCTTTATATATGTCTTTACCCCTGTACCCTTTACCGTTTTTCTTTTTTCCAAAGCGATCATATTGCTGACATTCTGACGATTGTCATCAATAATGTGGCCAACAAACGGGGCAACAAAAACGAGACCATGGTACCCTGGACCGGCGGCGCGCTACGACAGCACGTTTACTTTCCGCGCACCAGCGCCACTGACAAGGTGGTTCCAGATAGCCCCGGTCGGTAGATCCCTCTTCATTAATTTTTTTAAAATGTATTTTTTGTATTTGAACCTATTTTTAAGCTAGGGGCGGCCCAACGTGCCGCCATAAAATAAGCAAAACGTTAACCATTGCCCGTGACGGTAAAAAGATTATGGGGAGTGCGTCCATAAATGAATTTGACATAGAAACGTCCGTCCCTCAGGTTGTATGTCCTATAGCAAAGAAATGTTACACACGAATGGGCAGATAATTTTGTTTTTATGTATTAAGATAACCCGGCACAATTTTCGCAGCTTTTATACAAATGCCTTCCATTTAATGAATGTTTCGATGTACTGCCATATAGTGCTACATAAATGAAAATATATGTACATACGTAATACGTATAAGTTTCTATAAACTGACTGCCGTGGGGGTAACTGGATGTCGAGGCACGTGTGCGCTCTACAGAAGACATTCCGACTGGTTATTTGTTTCTTTTCCATCAAATAAAAGCAAACCATATGTGTACATACATATATATGTATATGTATTTATTTCCTATCATTTTTAAATTATTGTTTGATATATTAAAAAAAAATTTGGTTTCAGGTACGTTTCGCAACCATTCTTTTTTTTTATATTTTTCAAAATACATACTAATATAGTACATGTATAGGAGGGGGGGATACGATACAAATATTTTGTATTATTTATTAGATAAAAACTGTAATTCGTTAATTAAGCCGAACGCTTCTGCTTGGCCTTCTTCGGTGCGACAGGAGCATCATCACCGGCTGTTGATTTACGCTTTCCGGTGTTCTCATTTTGAAGGAATTGCTCCAATGATTTGGAGATCTTCAACACACTTTCCTTGGTGTCCCATAGTGCCGGATTCAAAAATTGCTTCAGAGCCCTAAGCTCCTGTACTTTGCCTGCTGGGGCAGATTCCATCAAATCTTTCGCATATTTTTCCAGCCCCTGGATGACAGCTTTTTGGCCGTGGACCGTGGACTTGAAGCGATTCTTTTGCGCATTCAATAGCTTCAGAATTATTTGGCGTTTCATCGGATGTGTGGTCAGATTCAAATGCGAAACTAATAGAGCAACCAATTGGCTGACGCCTGGCCAGGTCGGCTTGAACTGGAATATGGACTCGAAGCTGGATAGCGACTGTTTGGATTTGCGCCCCGGTAGCCATTCATTCAGTTTTTGTTTCAGGAGCGGCCATGCAACACTGTTTTCAACATCATCCTTGTTGGAGCACTGGGTTATCAAGGCGGCGAAGCATTTGTCGCGCCACATGGTCAGCTGCTGCTGCAACTCATGCGAGTTGGGGGCCCCGCGAATTTGCCTGGCCTCCAATGCCGAATTGGTGGCAGCAAACAGCTCCTCAATGGCATCAATTATCTGGCTACGATCCTGGGCATCTTCAAATACTATTTCCTTGTTGACCAGCTTGGCCAGCAGCTTCTGGCTGGCATGTTGGAGCGGTCGCTGATCCTTGTCGTTGATGGTGCGACAAAACACCTGAAAAACGCACTGCAACACATCTAGGATTACATTCATGGTTGGCTTCTTGTTGGCAAACACTTCGACAAGGTCTAGGACGCGTACACGAAAGTGTAGCAAGGTGGTGCTGTGAATACGATCGGATTTTGTTGGACGTTTTTTGCGCTGTGACGCCTGACTGCGCATCTTAAATATAGCCGCTAGGGACTCATCGAGGCGCTTGCCGCTCTCCTCAGCCACATCGTTCCAGTCCACGCTGCTAGCTTCGCTGGCTCCGTCATCGCCGTTCTGCAGCGCCTGGCGTACATCGTCGCGAAGTTTCTCCAAGGCATTATCTTCTAACGTGGCTGCATCTTCGTCCTCGTCTTCGGAGTTGTCATCATCGTCAGCGCTTGAATCGTTATCATCGTCATTGCTCTCCCCCTCCCCCTCATTTTCATTCTCATTTTCATCGCTGCTACTTTCGTTCTCATCTTCGCCCAGAGGGTTCGAATCCATATCCAGGCGCTGGAGTATTTGCGTCAAGTGCACCTGTTCGAGATATGGCAGCATCGATTTGACAATTATGTTGGTGAATTCACGCCAATGGCCAGCCGTTTCCAGCAGCAGCTGTAGCAAGATGTCCGTGACCACTTCCTGCCAGCTAGGGTCCTCCTATTCGAGTAGATTAAATTGTAAAATCCTCGAAGGCATATTCTCTCCCTTATCCCCCAAACCTTACCTCGGATTCCATCTTCTGTTCCTTCATTTTCATATTGCGACAGACCATCAGATCGTTTAGGATGTCTATCTGTAGCTGGCAGCAGGATGTGTACTGTGCCAGACCCACAAACAATATCAGAACTTCAATGATCTGAGCGCTGGCATTGGATTCGTTGTCGTCGCTGTGCTGCAGCTTTTCCAGCACATTCCAGGCCAGCTGCTGGTCAGCATTGGGTGCGTGCCGTTGGGCGTTAGCGTTCTCCGTTTTCGACAAGAACTTCCTCAAAAACTCGAGAGTCTTTCGCAAATCTTTGCTGAGCTCTTTGATGTCACCGTGACAGCTGCGTATAAGTAAGCCAATGAATATTGTTTTACAGCGATCGGCAGTCGAATCGCTTAGGATTGAGGCGGCAGGCGGACAGGGCTGCAGGCCAGATGCCACATGGCAAACGCCGGCAGTCAGTATTGTCTTCAGCATTGACCAGCGTTCCTTTTTGTTGGCGTCAAGCTCGGGATGTTGCAAGATGGCCTGCATTTGGCTGACGCATTCTAGTTGGTTCCGCGGGCCATTGTCTTGCGGTTCTTCCATGCCGACAGGCGTTGCCAGTAGGGACGCGTATAGGTCGAAAAGTATCTTGAGGCCGCCGTACTTTAACGTGTTCAACAACGTCTCGGTGAACCGTCGCGTTGTGGCAAGCTCATTCAAATTTCCCCTCTTTCTGAGCAAATTGCTCAATATTCTGGCCTTCGTTTCGTCGCCAGTCGCAGGATTTTCAAAGAGCAGAATGACCGCACATTCGAACTCCTGGCATATCTCGCGAAACTGCATTGTCAATGGCTTCTGGTTCTTGGCGCTGGTGGTTTTTGCTGCCAAAAGTTCATCCAATATAAAGTCCATCAAGGGGCTGGCAAATAGATCTATTAATTGCTGCTCATTGGCGTTCTTTTGGCTGATAATTAGGTGCTTGGTCACCTTGAAGATGCATCCCTTTGATGCAACGTTCTGGGACCTATGCTCGTATGCATAATTCTGCCAGGATTCGAGTATCTTAGAATTTTTATCGGCAGTGCCGAGAAACTTGCCGAATCTGGCATAGATTCTGGGATCGTACATCTTCGGGGCGGCGAAATAAATCTTGAATAGTTCTGAATACTCTATCTTCTTGGGCCACAGGATGGCCATCAATTGGTCCTGTGTGAGAATATTGTTGTAGCTGTCGTGAACCGCCAATAGAACATCGCAGGTGTGCAGGTTCAGCTGAGACACGGGCTTGCTAATGTCCTGCTTTAACACTGGCCAAACGTCTGTCGCGAAACGTTTTTCGGGGACCTGCAAGTGGGACTAGATCAGAATATTGCTCAACATTTCTCTATGTAGGTGGCTCACCGTTGCAAAGGATTCCACAATCACATTGTTGCTCAAGCACATCAGGTACTCGCGCCCCTTCATGTAACCGATCAGCTTCGCGTAGATGGGCGCTAGCTCTCGTTCGTTGGATAATTTTTGGGATAGTTCCAGTATGCTACTTGCGGTGATCACCTGTCCGACTGCTGCCAGTGTCTCCTCCTTCTTTTTCGGCTGGCCGTTCACGGGCAGTTCACGCTCTACAATGTCCAGCAGATCCAGCTCGTTCACGTCGGGCACATTCCTAATGATGAGCCTTATGATGCTGCCCACCTTGGCGACCGTCTCTTTGTTGTCCGCCCCCGTGGCGCGTATCAAGCGTTTTACAACATATGTTGCTGTGGCGTTGCGCTGTCATTTGAAAGATTCCAAAAAACATAAGGCATTGCCAAATAACTAAATGCGCTTCGGAACTAACCTTTTCGGACGACTCTTCTTGGAGCAGTGCAACCAGGTCCTGCAACATCTTCGACGTTATGTTTGTGGTATCCTGAAAGTTTTTCAAAATGCTAAACACGCGCTTGTCGATGTTGTTTCCTGGTCCACTTTGCGGTTTCTTCTCAATTCCATTGCTCTGTTCGTCTTCGGTCTTTTTGGCTTCTTTGCTTTTTTTGGAGGCTTTTACGGGTTTCACCTTCAATTCGGAATGCTGCTCATTATCATGATCGCTGCCTTCATCAGATGAGCCTTCACAGTCGGCAGAATCGAGCTTCACCAATTTTCCCTTTTAACAATTGAAGGTATTTCAAATTAGTGAAACCAAACAGGAAAAACGTGCTGTTTCGCGTTGATATACTTACGTTCATTGCGTTCGTTCTTATTTTTTCCAGAATAGTTAAACATACACACAATGTGAACAAGTTTAAGTTAGGCAATCCAACACACGCTCGTTTCAACTCAATATTTTTGTAATTTCCGAGCACGTTGTGGTATTAGCAATAGAGATGGAACTACTCAAACTAGTCGCATGCCGGGTAACGTTTGCGATAACAGTAGAACGATACAATCGGTAGCTAGCTAAAATATGTTGATGCTCCAAAATCAAAGAGACTCTATCCGTATTGCTATTGAATATTAAGATAAATAATTTTATTAAACATATTACTGCACGCCACGCTTCCAGACGGGGAATTTCGGTATAATATTTAAAGAGACTAAGCTATCGATACCACAGTAGAAATATCGCTTCGCTGACAGTAGTGCGACCAGACTGCTGCACCGGAAATTCCACTGCTGACAACTTGATGATTTGAAATTAATTTTGAAATCTGGAATAAAATGTATAACATTCTAGCTTTAAGAGCTTCAACAGACAAAGAGATTTTAATTACATAGCAATTACCTTTAGTTGATAGTTTCATAGCATTCACTATGTTATAAAATATTTAAACTATTTTTTATTTACTGATTGTCAGTTAATTCATGCAAGAGAACGATAATAATGGAAAAGTAAAAAAGAAAGGACCGGGGCAGCAAGCGGCACTAGAAATCCATTTAAAAACAAATTGTTTTCCAATCTTCTTCAGTTTATTTGGTCTGCCTTTGACCATTGACCACTGCCTAATGGAATTTAAAAACCGTTTTTCGCAATTGTTTTTCTTTTGTCCTATATTTTTTTTTTATTGTATATGATTAAAACTACTCTTCTATGAATTATAGGTTATATGTGGTAAAATTGTATAAATTGTTATAATATAATATTGTATAAACGGATTTTGTGCTTTGTTGTGGGCTGCCTAAAGCACTGGATACTGTTTTCCACTAGAAGAAATGCAATTGGATCGCTGTTAAATAAATGCTTCTCGTTTTGAAGGATACTTTGGAAAGATGTCGAAAATGTTGTGCTTGCGCACTCGAGTGTATTCTGAGTGTTATTTAGGGGATTGAAGACATGACGGATCCTAAAATACAATACGTACGTACATCAGAGATTGCGCATAAGCAATACAAAGACAGACCAGACATAATATGGCGTTGCTTGGTCCAATTGTCGATGAGTATAGGTTTTGTTCGTATACATACATATATACATTTTCGTGGGCTAAGAATATGCACCAGATTCATAAATGGGAGACTCGAAATTTTGCTAACAAATGGTATTGCACGTCCCACCGGCCAGGCAGCGTCCAACACTCAAGTGTTGTTGTAGTACCCGAACAAGTCGGGCTGATACGGATCTCACGCCGCCCATCGCGACTTCTGCAGCTCGATTTGACCCTCAAGTGTCTTGGCCAGATATATGACAAGGAGCTGGATGAGAGCAATGCCCAGGGCAATACCAGCAATCACATACAGGTTGCGTTCAGCCCAGACGCGCACGGTTTCGATGCATGCGCTGGTCCAGATGAGCTTGCTGGCGGCTACCACAGTGTGCTCCTGCACCCCATAGCCGCACATAATGTTGACTAGACCCGAACTGATGTCGGTGGCATTGATGCAGCAGCTATAGGGGACCCCGCACCTTTCCACGGACGGTGAGGAGCAGTTGAAGTACTCGTTCTTACCTGTGGGTCCGTTGAGTGTTAATGTTTAATTCAATCTATAGTCATATATTGTTGCAATGGGCGTGAACTTACCCCAATCCTGGTAGCCAGCATTACTAAGTCCGCAGCATTTGAACTCTTGCTGGGCAAAGTCTACAAAATTCTGCAGATCGGGATCATCGCGATAAGAGTGTATAATGGTTTCTGTGAACTCCTTCTCCAGGAATGTGTTCATATGTTGCGGAAAGACGAAGCAAACGATGGCTAAAATTGAGAATTTCATAGTTCAGAGCCGCCAAGGTACATCGAAATCGACTCGGCTCACCAATGGCCATTTCCATGAGAAAGAAAAGGAGCAGGTACATGGAGTAAAACTTCAGTAGGCAGGTGTTTTCGCGCAACGCTCCGAGGCAGCCAGCAAAGCTTACCACAAATATGACAATTCCCGTGATGATCATCACCAGCGAAATGTTGAGTATCCAATCGTAGATGGTTTCCAGCCTGACTCCGCCATTGGCCTGCTCCCACTTGTCCTTGAATGCGTAGATGCCGATGCCCAGAAGAAGGCCACCGAAAAGCCAGAATATGAAGTTTAGCATGAAGATCATGTACTTCACGCAAGTGCTGACAAATGTGCGCACCTCTATACCGCTGTAGCCACGCTCTCCACCACCAGCTTCATTCTGGTATCTATAGTTACTCATTGATCTGCTTGTAGTTAATACTGTTGGTTTTCTCCTAAAAAAAAAGTTTGATTTTTTCCAGTACTTCTTTGTCTGCTGCGAGTATTGTTGGACTTACCGTCTTGGCTGTTGCTGCGCCGCCGTGTGCAGATCTTCTTAAAACTCAAGGCGCTTTAACTTATTGCGCTGTGTTATTTGCAGTATAGCTCTGGTAATATATGTTCCAAAATCAGTTTCCTTAAGACGTCTGCGTATTGCCCGTTCACTGACATCAAATTTTCCTGCTTCCTTCAAGTCATTGGCAACCGATCGAGGAGTTCTCAAGACATCCTGCTTAAATTGTCGCAAATTAAAAGTGTCTACCTTGGCAGTTGTCTTTAGTGGTCTGCCACAACGTTTAGCGTTTTTTGCAGTGTTGGTTTTTTGATAGCAGATTGTCAGACGTGAAATATACTATAATCTACTGATATTTTGCACTGAAATACCAGAGTTGGACTTCACTATTATTTCATTTTTAAGAGATTCACCGAATTCCTTTCGGAATTATTGAACGAAAACTATTTTTATCAGCATTTACAATCTCTAAACTGAGATAATCCGTAATAATGGTTTCGCCTTCTATCAACAGCAGATCAATGCAAATTAATTGAAGTTCTGACAAAATACTTTTGTCCAGCCAAGATGAGATTACGAATGAGAATAAGAAGCATATTATGAAAATGCAAAATGCAACCACGAAGATAATTTGCAATATACTTTATGAATTCATTTACTTATCGGTAAATAAGATAAGAGAGCTGTAACACGAAGCAATTCGTCAAAATTCAACGCTAAGCGTTGCGTAGTTTGTCAAAATACTTATGCCGACGTGTGTATGTATAAAAAAATTCCAGACAATGACAACAATCGCCCAGGGCTGTGTCGTGAGTGCTCGTGTTTCGTGTATCGGTGGCGAATATCGATAGCCCGACAAATTCGGGAGAACATTTAAATTTAAATATATTTTATTTGTTCGACTTGTATTAGTATGAAAAAAGTATATTCAAGCATATATTTACTTGTTTATCCACCTTATATATTGCAGTTATATGTGTAATTGGTTGAGGATAATGATATTTTTCGGCATTCGATGTTCGGTCACGATGAATGATCCGATCCCACAACCGGCTGACTGACTAACTAAATAAATAGTGGATGTTGTTGCTATCCGAAATCTGATCATCTCAACAATAATAATTGAAAGCGCCGGCAACGAATGCCAGAAATCCAAAAGCTCAAATCTGCTGCCTGTTGCGCTGTTGTCGCTGCCGTTGACCTTTGAGCTGGTACAACGTCTAGCGCTTGCTATCGACGGCGGGCGGACTCTTTCAGAGCACATGAATCAGCTCTGGGCCATAGGGGCAAGCGTGCGTGCGAGCGAGAGGGCCGGGCAAATCTAGCAATAGCCCAAAACCGAAAGCCGGTCGGTCCACTATCAAGTCGATAAGCAATCGGTTGATACGTACAGAATACTTATTGCACGGCAATAACAATAACCGTATTTAGTTGCTGTCAACTTGGCGACGCCTCAGTTTGTGTGGTGCATTCGCTGCTCGATTCGCTTCGGTCAAGGCCAACAACATCATGAACTTCCTGCTGCGCTTCATCGTGTTCTGCTTCGATCCGTTGGGCCTGGGGCGACGCTTTTTGGTCCGGCCAGCTCTAAATGTGGGGTGGAATGTGTACGATCGGGTGCGCAGCAAAGCGGACGAGAAGGTCGGAACTGTGCGGGAGCTGGTGCTGCGCCTGGGACTGATCGCTTTTGCCGTCGTCCTGATCATCTGGCTGGCAGTGTTCATGTACGCGGCCTTCTACTATATCTACATGCCGGCCATTTCGCACACGCGTCCCGTGCACATGCAGTTCAAGTAAGTAAAGAGCAATTCCGACTGGACGTTCCCGATTCCATTCTATAACGATTATCTGACCAAATGTAGAACATGCCTGGAGACAAGTACGCCTTGCACCTTTCCCCACGCCCACGTCTCGCTGACCAAGAAGCAACAGCTGCTGATGGTGGGCCAGGCGTACAAGGTTATCGTGAACATTGATATGCCAGAGTCGCCTCAGAATCTTGAGCTGGGAATGTTCATGGTGTGCGCTGAAATGCGCGACTATGACTCTATGCTGCGCGGCCACTCCTGCCGCTCGGCAATGATGCGCTATCGATCACCGCTCATCCGTATGATATCCACGTGGGCCCTCAGTCCCCTGTATGTGCTCGGCTGGAAGGAGGAGTTCCAGCAGGTGCCCGTCGAGATATTCTCACGCTATCTGGAGGAGCGACAGCACCCCATCACCGATGTCTACGTGGAGATACAGTCGCAGAAGATCCAGTTCTATACGGTCACCCTTCACATAGTGGCTGATTTTACCGGCCTGCGCTATATAATGTTTAATTGGCCCGTCCTCTCGGCCATAGTGGGTATGTTTAAATTGAGTTGGCACGCTGGAAGGCGACTATCATCTAATTCTATTTTGTTCTGTTTGCGCCTGATCCATTTCCAGCCATTAGCACCAATCTATTCTTTATATTGGTCGTTTTTCTGCTCAGCTGGTACCACTGGTCCGACGCCAGCTGGCTGCACAGTTTACAAATCAAGTACGCACGGCTCACGAACACGCTGCAGTCCGGTGCAGGCAGTGTGATCCTTTCCAGCACGAGCATGAGTAGCCTGCGCGACGACGATCTTCTCTCGCTGGACGAGAAGTCTGACATAGCCGATGTTGGTGGTGGCGATGCCGATGATCTGATGGTGGAAAAGTCCCTGGACAAGCACAGCCATGGCCGGGACGCCAAGGATGCACTGCGTCAGCGCAAAACGAAACGGACCGACCAATGACGTCGCCCTCGTAACGTGACCAATGATGACTATCGAAAGCAGTAGCAGTAGCAGTAGCAGAACTACGAACGCGACGCTTGAGCCAAAGACTAATAGATTTAGGATTAACTTAATACTCCTACGATGCTGCAGGGCAGCCACATTTGCATTCTATCTGAAGTATTCTTGCGGTCGTATAATGCCTAACTCTAATTGTAATCATCACAGCCCAGTCAATCACTATGAATACATTTCAGTTCACGTTGAAATATTGCAATATTCATTCTCTGTAGTTCTTCTAGCGCGTTCTCAGTGCGGCTGTCTCGCAATTATGTGCTCCCCAAGCGTCCATACATCTCCATTCCGTTCGGAATGGGCTCTATCCCCACCAAGTACCATAATACTTAAGATATATGGCTCCAATTATGATATGTTTTATGTATGGTCATTATTTACTGATTGATGGGATCTATCCCATCCGAGCAAACCTCAAGATGTTGTATGCGAATGCAAGGACAAAGTCACGCTAACATGGGTCATGATTGTCCTGCGGGGGCGGTAAGTCCAGGCAAAATGATCAAAAATAAGTGGAATGCACATTGAACAACAGAAAACGTTGTGGCTATGTGGAAGTATCCTTCTCTGGCGACTCCTCTGCTCCGGCCTCGCCTTCATTACCTTGGGAAGTCTGCTGTAGTTTAAGGATTTCCCCTGGATCGCTTCCATGTTCTGTAAGGAAGTTCTCAGACCGAGGCACAGCTTCTCAGTCTGTCCAGGGCCCGGTCCTTCGTCACAGCAAAATTTGTGTATGAGGAAAGGTTTGGTTGGTTCTCCTCCGTAGCCTGCAGTGGTTCCATGTCCAATTTGTGTGCCAGTTCCTTGGGCTCTGCAAGGGTAGCCGATGGCATGAAAAGAAATCCTCCCTGATCATCCAATGACTCCACATGAGATATATAATATACCATATGTATGATATCATATCTGTACCAATATCGGTGTGATGGGAGTGCTACGAGTCCTACATCCTCCTATCTGAATGACACCAAAGATATCCGATGCCCGATGCTGGGGAGGTTACTAGCAATCTACAATTTATGGATGTGCATTAAAAACTGTAGTTGGATTAATTGTTAAAATCATGTTATACTTTTATTATAAGCGGCAGACGTGACTCGACATTAAGATTTGAATAATGCAATGGAATTTCAGAATTAAATCGCATAAGTATCTATTCCAAAAGCACAAATACAAAACTAAAAGCTGTGCTTTCCTAAAATACTCACATCCACATCCCAACGAATTTATCCACAAAATCTACAGGACATTAAAGGATTTGGAAAGTAAAAGAAAACATAAGGTATTTATATGTCTCACCATAAATAAATTTCAGGATTTTTTGTACATCCCTATTAATTAGTGTTGTGTTGCTCATGAGTGAGTGAACAAAAAAGAGTTGTTCACTTAAGTGAGCAACTGAACATATTCCTTCCAAACTGTTCTTTTTTGCTCACTTGTTCTTTTTTGCTCACTTGTTCTTTTTTGCTCACTTGTTCTTTGAACAAGAACAAGTGAACATGTTCATCAAAATGAGCAATGTTTACCCAACACTACTATAAATAATTGTGTGTGCTCAGAATATACTTATCTCTCTATCATATATGTACATATGTATGTACTACTAGATATTATTTTCTATTATATTTAAGAATGGAAGAATACAGACATGCTTACAGAGCAGAGATCTGATCTGTTTGTATGGCTAAATTGGAGATGAAGCCTAGCATTCTCGTGTTGAATCTGTGAGTCTGCGAATCTGGCCGTGTATTTATTTAATTAACACTAATTCCGGCCTGCTGGCCAGCTCCAGCTCCACGTCCTCGTCAATATTTGCCCCAGCCCGTTGGAGATTCATTGAGCAAATAAATATTGGGCAAGTCGCGTGTTCCAATCCGCAGATGCGCGATTCGTGCTGATGTCTATCCCGGCTATGTGGGTGGAACGTGTCAGTCGCTGAGAAGCCTTTTGGATCTGTATGTGGAATTTTGACCCCAATTCAAATACACAGCAATCTTGTGGTTTGTTCTTTTTTTTATTTGGTTTTTTCTTGTACATAGTATGTATGTATGTATGTATATGTAGCGTAACTTGTAATGACATAACTAAATTTTACAAATATTCCTTCACTTCCTGTGATTTGTCCCATATGACGACGAGAAAAAAAAAACAAAAAAAATATATATATACATACATGTAGGAAAGGCAGTAACGGGAGTATCATTAACATAGAGAGAGGAAATAATCGAATAGAAACTAAGATCGAGTAATCGAAAAGGAGAAGAGTTTGAGCTACGAGAGAGAGAGGTTGTGTTCTCGGTGCGCGGATTAAACGAAAGCGAGAGAAGAGAAAATTATAAAACACTGTGTAAATTAAATATAAGACGAATGAACGAAATAAAGTTATGATTTCTTAATGAATCCGTCGACAACAATTATTGCGAGAAAGTAGCCTCAAACTCGATACAACCGGGAGGATTATACGCGCATATGTATAAGTCCCCCCACATACATATGGTACATATACATATGTATACTATATGTTATATAAAATGGTTATATAAAGATAAGGTTATATACGTATGTGTGTTCTATATAATATGTATTATTAAATAGCAATAATAACAAACAATAATTGACAGCAGAGGGAGTTTCGGTTGGGTTTTCATTTCGATTTTGGCCACCTTTGGTGTCGTCTCACCATCTGCTGTTGCTTCAGCCGGCGCCGGCGCTTGCCAAATATGTATATGTATGTATATATGTTACTTACTACCACTAATACACAAAATACATATCGTACATACAATATCGTACATAAATCGATCGCAATCGATCCTAGCTGCTATATCTTCTCGCTGGCTTAGGGGCTTCTTTGTTAGTTTGTTTTGTTTTTTGTTGTTGCTTGTTATTCCGATTTAAATTCCGATAGACATTTGTAAAAGGCGTTAAAATTAGACCACACACAAGAAATATCGCTATCGTTATCGCTATCGTATAATAATTACTGATGATACAAATAGTCGTGTTCTATAGCACACACCATATATACACAGATACAACCACCGCTTCCTTTCCCGTTGGGGAATGGGGCGAAGGTCAAGGGGCAAAGGGCTAAGGGGAGGAAAATGGAAATTGTGGGTCCTAGGGTGTGGGGTGTGGGGTGTGGGGCGTTCCTGTTCGTATTTCTGCAGCTGCTCTGCTGATCGGTTGCTATATATATGTATGTATATTTTTCTCTTTTTTGGCGATTTGTGGTATTATTTGGTGGCGATTTGTAGCACCAGGACAGGAGACAGACAGGACACCACTGATTGATGTTCTTAGTTGAGCTCCTTCCGCGTCGTATTGGGCAACAGGAGGCACATGAGACCGCCGCCGATGAGCAGGCCCGAGACAATGAACGTCGGCGAGGGACAGTAGTTGTCCAGCAGCTGGGCAATGACAATGTTGCCAATGATGCCGCCGAGACGGGCCGCCACCATGGAGATGGCCACGCCGGTGGCCCGCAGCTTGGTGGGGAATACTTCGGTGATGAGACAGTCGAGGGCGGCATTGGCTGCCGAGATGGCCCCGCTGAAGATCGCCGACACGATGAGATTCTGCAGAGAGCTGCGCACAAAGTACATGAGGGCCGAGCAAATGCCGGCGGTCATGGTGCCGGCAATCAGGAAGAACTTCCGCCCCAGCATGTCCATGCCGAGGATGGCCAGCAGGTTGGCGGGCAGCGCAGAGGCGAGCGAGATGAGCGACTCCATGAACACCGACTGGGGTATGTCCGACGAGCAGGTGCCGTTGTTGGCACTCTCGCGGGCAATGCCCACCACATACTCGGTGACCGTACAGACGCCGGCCGACGAGTCGGGGAAGGCCTTCTCATACTCCTCGAAGCGATTGAACAGCTCTGGGAACCACATCAACAGTCCGTAGTAGCCAATGTGGAATGTAAAGTTAATGGTGATCGAGACTATGGTGAATCTGAGGATGGGCGACTTGAAGAGGGCACGACTGTGGTCCACCATGCCGCTGACCATGCGCGAGTACTTGTTCTTGCTGTTGGCCGAGCTCTCGAGCAGCTTTTCGTCCACCTCCAGATCGTAGACCATGTACTCGTCCGGCCGCTTGCGGGTGTTGGTCACAAAGATGCCGCGGAAGATGGCCAGGGCGCGATCCTTCTTGCCGCGCGTCAGCAGAAATTTGGGCGACTCGGGCAGGTAGAAGAGCAGGAAGCCGACCAGGAAGGATGGCAGCGAGCAGACCAGCAGGAAGATGCGCCACGAATTGTATGTGAAATATGGGGTCTTGAAGCCAATGTCCGTGGGTATGATCAGCCAGGCCAGGCCGGCCACAAACAGGTTACCAAAGGTCCAGAAGGCAGCCATGAAGCTCAACATGGAGCCTCGTTTCGCTTTCGGTTGGAATTCGGCAAAGTACGACCAGATGACAGGACCACTGCCTCCGAGCCTGAAACGAAAGACAACACAAATAACATTCACAAATGTTCACAGTTCAAAAGAGTCTCGAGTCTCGAATCTTCTCTTGCAGCAGCCCAGGTCCATGTTCAGGTCCACGTCCAGGTCCAGGTCCTTTATACCCCACTATGACCAATGTCTATGGAATGGCCTGGCCTGGACTGGCCGAACATTGCGAAATATTTCTGGGAGTGCGCTCAAGTAATTAGCAGACGATTGGGAAAAATAATGATCAATATGAGCGTGGATGATGATGGATGACTAATTTACGAAGTAAATCATAGCCAGGGGGCCAAGGCCTGCCCAAAGGGGTCGCACCGAGATTTTCCAATTTCGTTTGCGTCTGTGGTTTTTTTTTTTCTGTTTGGTTGTGGCAGCAATGGTTTCGGACGCGGACGCGGACTCGGACTCGGACTCGGATTCGAGCCTTTAATTAGCATAAACAGTCACGATATTGTGGCTCAAATATTTTGTTGTTATTTATAACAAAGTTAATTGAATTAACACCCTGCCCCGGGGTTGGGGCCCGTGTGTCACTCGAACAACACTGATCGATAATGGATGATGGGAGATGGTAGAGAATAGGCTGGGCGGGGAGGGTTACTTGCTGGGAGAGATTCGGTCTTCGGGTGTTCGGCTGATCGGGTGATCGAGATACTTACGCTGCGCCATTGAGAAATCGAAACAGCATGAAAAACGAGTAAGTTTGCGAAAACGACGACGCGACAATGCAAAAGGCATTCATGAACGAGATGACAATCAGCACCTTCTTGCGGCCAAAGCTGTCGGCGATGCTGCCCCAGAAATAGGCGCCCACCATCATGCCAATAAAGATGATCGAATTGAGCCAACCCTTGGTCTCCGTATTGAGATCCAGGTCACACTCGGCCGACGGCAGGATGAACGACATCGAGATGACGTCCATTTCCTCCGATGTACTGACCAGGCCGCAAATGGCCAGCAGTATATAGTGGAACTTGCCATAGCCGCACAGCTCGATGGCCCGCTCGAAGTTGGCGACTATCGGACTCGTTGGCTCCGGGAGCGGTGCCCCCTTCTTGCCCTTCCGCCCCTTGTCCTTGCCATTGCCATTGCCATTGTGTTCGGTGGTGCTGCTGTCGCCGGCAGCGCCGCCCACCGCACGCTCTACGTCCTGCTTGCCATTGGTGGTGGTCGTGTCCGGCTCGTAGCCGCGATTGTCTGCCGCAAACTGATACTCCGGCTGCTTGGCGCCTGTGCCCAGGGAATATGGCTGGATGATCGCTCGGTTGTCGATGTGCGGATTGGCGTTGGCGTTGCCAGTCGCGTTGCCAGTCGAATGGTTTGATGGATTGCTTGCTGCGCTCTGATTGTAGTTCGGCTGTAGTCCAGCTTCTACATTATAGGCTGTGGATGAGATAGGATGGGACAGGGGTTGTTCCCGTACATTAGAATCAATGATCGAATGGTTGGCTCCTGGCTGTGCTTCAGCAAGGGATACTTACATTCGCTTTTACCTTTTGCAGAATCACCTTCTACCATTCTATAGTTCAAGTTTTTGTTGGCTTTTTGTGCGCGTAGCAAAAAGGAAATTAAATTGATCGATTTGTGTGCTGCCAAGGGCTGCTTAGAAAAGTACAGTTGTGTGTGCCTTGCTTAGCGATCTGCAATTACAGAGAGATGGAAAGAGTGAGAAAGATATTACATTAGGTGAAATCTTTGTTACATCTTTAACCCCGTGTCGAATTGGGTCTCCCTTCGGTATCGCTCAATTGGGGACGCAAGGCGACCATTGAGGAGTAATTGAATAAACGATCTGCTCCCACAGATACTATGTACATGTATGTACGTACATATGTATGTATGTATATTTATGTATGCATGTGCCCCCAAACAATCGAGATCTAATTGGCGAGACAAACAGCGCCATAATTGATTAATAAAAAATTATACCCAAAATAGTCGAGAAATGCGAGAACTAGCCAAAATGCTGAAGGCGTGAAAAAAAAAATAATAAAAAAAATCCCCCACCAGCGCAGACAGAGCAGCGCAGCGCAGCGCATTGGCATCGGCATCGGAACATCGCGACACTTTTATTAATAAATAATTGGGGAAATAAAATGAATATTTTGAAACCTGTCATGGCACCCAGCTGTTGCCTCTCACGCCTGTCCACCGTAATGTTACGGCTGTTATCGGTCTGTTAGGATAATGTAAGAGAACAGGCAAACGAACTGTAAGCGAAGAGCAAATGCAATGGCCCGTTGACTGCCTGTTAGGATCAAACACGTTCGGGGCACACGCACGAGCAAGCCGAACAAATTGAAAGCACAAATACATATGTAAATACAGTGTAAAGCGTTTACAGCAAGCACACAATAATTCAATTTGGTTAATGGTAATGGCCTGCTGCCCGGTCACGTGCAGCAAAACCAGCCAAACAGCTGTTAATTAACATAGCTACGGATCTGGCTCTGGCTCTGGCACCTGCATTTCTTTCGGCTCCACTTCATATTGTGTTTTCAATTTGTGATTTATGGGCGCAATCTTTCACTTTATTCATTAGGCGAAAAGGAACAACAAATCTACGATGACCTTATCGCGCATCGATTGAACCTGGTGGGAAGCCAGAGGACAGGCGGTGCACGAATGTGCAATGAAGGAGAACAGGAACCGAAACGGTAACGGCAGCGTAACGCCATCCGTTAATGTTACAGTATCGAGATGACAGCCCGGCAGAGGCAGAGGCAGATGCAGCGGCAGCGGCAGTGGCGCGAGCAGAGGTACTGGCAGAGAGAGTCTCGTAGCATTTAGCTCTGTGGGTGGACTGCAGCGATCCGTTTCGTTTCGTTTCCACATCATTTCTTATTTTGTATATATGTATAAGAATCTACACGCTTTATGCTACTATACGAGAACTTCGAGATGGTCCCCGACCTCGATGCGTACTACTCTACGCTTCCGGAAATTATGGAATGGCAGCCCTTCACCTGGCCTTCGTGCCAGGTACAAGTACAGCCCCATTTCCATTTTCATTTCCATTACCATTTCGAATTTCCCTTTCCATCAGAGACAGAGAGAGATCCAAAGATGATGAAATCCAATCCCAAGTGGATATCTACGAGGCACTCGCATATACTACGTACACCACGGACAAGAATCGTATTCGGTTCCAGTTTACACTGCGACTACGACTGCGACTACGACTATGAGTATTATTTATTACGATTGTCTTTTTCGCAGCCGCATAACTGGAAAAACTGCGTGTGAATGAAATACCTCGGACTTGGACGGGGTCCCAGACTCCGAGACTCCCAGACAGACTTCAATGTCAGTCGATGCATATACATACGAGCGCATGTGCCATATGGGAGGGAGACTCAAGAGGGGATTCAGAGATTGTGCCTCTCAGATCGTTTATGGTGCAGCATTTGCTTTGTTTTTGCGCTTTTGCATATCTCAAATTAATTAGCACATAAAAGTGAGACATTGCGCCTTTAGGTTGCATGGTCATATCGCATTTGATATACTTGGTACATTGCCTGTGCATGGGAATCCCAGCCAGAGATGTGCCGACAAAATTGGGTTGAAAATCTCTAGATTGAAAATCTGATCAACCAAACAAATTTTTTTAAGCTAATTTCGTCTAAACAAAATATGCCAGAACCTGGCAAATGACGCACTGAAACGATCTCCCAAAGTTGCTCAATGTGTATAAGATCTCTGAAACCTGTATAAATTGATATACACTTGGTAAATCTTTCTGAATGAACAATTAAATGAAACACTTTTGCGGGAATTCTCAAATATTTCCACCAACATTCGTCTAGAGTTCTCTACTCTGTTCTCTATTGTGTTCTCTTGGGTGCCATCGAATGAACTCTACAATATTTAGCATTCGGTTAGCTAATTGTTTCGTTTGCTAATTTCCTTGACTCGAACGACCGATAATGATTTTCGGATTCGTTTACCTGTTGTATGGGAGATGGGTATAGGGAATTCGTTCGTTTTCGGCTTGGAGATCGCTTGGAGATCGCTTGATTTGTTTGTACGCGCGTTGCACTTGTTTCGGGTTTTCGGTGTTTCGGGGGGACGGGAAACAATGAAATATTGTATTTTTTGACAAAAAGGGAATATGGGAAAGCTGCTTTTCGCACTTGCTTTTGGTTTTATTTATTTATTTATTTTCTGGTTTTGGTTTTGGTTTTGTTCCGTTTTGTTGCGTTTTGTTTTGTTTATATTGGATGGAAAGTATACTCAAATTGTAGTTAAGGCGATTTGTTTTGGGTGTCAGCTGAGCGACTGTTTCTGCTTGTTGTGGATTTTGGCGTTTGTGGTGCGAGAAGTTCTCAGGTTGGCCTGACAATCGTCACTAGCTGGCGAAAACATTAAAAACTTTAACTGTCAGACGGTGCGGGAATACCGAGCTGCATTGAGAGCAGCCGTTTCGAACGTCAGCGTAAACGAAAACTCAAACTCAAACTTAAACAGTAACAAAAAACCGAAATTTCTTTGGATTAGATTGGATTGGTTTTGATGGGTGTGAGTATTACTGTTGGCGTTTTACTGGCGGAGAGCGTAAGCCGGGGCGGTATTTTATTAGCGGTCTTTAGCGGCTGTCTAGCGGGTCTCTCGATGAGCGTTTGTTCGCGCCAAATGGTGGAAAGTATCTGAGAAGCGTTACGCGCGCGCTTAAATACACCAAAAAGGCGTCCCAAGCCAGAGCCAGAGCCAGAGCCAGAGTCGGCTCGATCGTGGCGGAACGAAATGGGACTGGAACACGCCCTGAGGCTTATCAGACGCTCAGAGCGACGATACATATACTACCTCCCCCCAAGGCACCCCCTCTTTCACTTCACTCCCATTTCAGTGTTCCCTGTGTTCCACTGTTCCGATCGGACTAATTGAAATTCGAAATTTAGGCGCGAACCGCAGTTGGGTGAGAGAAGAGAAGAAGAGGAAGTGGGGATTACCCGATTTTCAAGAATAATGTGAAACTCCAAATGGACTATTAATAATTGATCATTAAAAGCAAAGCTTAACCACAGGTATACTATTACTAGTGTTTTTATTTAAGTACAGGTACATTTTGTTCAGTGCACTGCGGAGATCCTTTCGATCAGAGCACTCAACCTCATGATCCCTTGGAACGAAAGACTGTTCATGATCTGTCCGAGTCAAGTTCATCACTTACGATGATTAACGATCGGTTAACGATGGCTGGTTGGAGAGATGGCGGGTGACAAACCCAATGAGAATCCGCAAACCCTTTTGTGAGGGCAGAACAATTAACGGCAGCAGGCCGCGGCTTAAGCGATCAAAAGAATAATAATAATACTTGATACTTATAAACGGCATTATTATTATCGTTGTTGTTGGTATATATTGCTGATATTGTTACATATATTGTATATATACATATGTATATATAGTTGTTGTCATTGCGATTACTGATACATTGGAATCGATGCGAGCGAGCAATGATCGTGTAAGCTGGCCATGTGACTGAGTCAGCAGAGATACAGATACAGATACAGATACAGATACAGATACAGATACAGACACACGTACGGTGTCGGAGACAGGGAGGAAGTCTCTCGAAAAATACAAAATAAATATGAAGAAAGATTTCACAGAAAATGATCTATAAGCCGGAGTGAGTTATATGGTAATTACAAGCCTAAACCCCTTAATTTTTTGTTTTTTTTTTCGCTGGTCAGGTGCATACATATATCATTAGGCTAGGACGTAGATCATTCCTGTGGTCTTAAAGTCAATCGGGGGGCTAATTGCCTAATTGGCAACACGGGCCCTGGAGCCTTCGACCCTTTGGCCAAAAAGGTTTACACGTCTGTCGGCATCATGATATGCAGGCAGCAAAGCAAAGTGAAATTTGAGATCTGCAATCGTGTGTACACTTTTTTACGTACAGTTCTTAGACACAATTCGAGACGTGACTGCCTCCGTTTCTAGCAGAGAGAGGTAGAGAGGGAGAGATTAAATGAAAGCGTGGACCCAACGAGGGCTTGCATAATAGTTGATTAATCCCCCCACCCATTGCGCTTTCGTTTATGGAGCGTAATTTGACGCTAATTTCTTGTTGCCTCATTTGGGAAATTATCGCACCTCCGACCCATACCCATACCCATACCGATACCCATGCGGTCCGATTCGAGTGGGGAACGTGTTCTTTGTTCATTTCACATTTCACATTTTTCATTGTCGCGTCGCTTTATTTTCGCCACAGTCAAACTGTACTTTTTCCCCATGTGTCCACACACACGCCTGTCTGCCCACAATTAATTTAATTAGACATTTGTGAAATGCTTAGAAATTTTCATCCTCTCCACCCACCTACACCTTCACCTTCACCTCCACCCACAGCAAACTGTCAGACTGACAAAAACAAATAAATTTGAAATTGATAAATTCAAACTGGATAATTATGCTCTTTGACAGACAGCCTAATTCCTCAGAATACTAAACATGCATCCCGTATAAACTTTGAATGGAGTTTGAACTCAGCGGGAAAGCGTTGAACTTTGAAAACTTTGAGAACCTTGTACAGTACCAGTTCCAGGGCCCAAAGGTTCCGAGGTTCCAAGGGTTGAGGCTTAAAACCATATACTACAATTTTGCTTTGGTGTGTACGTCCCTTCTGGAATACCTGGAATTGCAACAGAAAACCACTATCCACGGACCGAACTTTCACTCAATTCATTAAAAAGGAGTCCAGATATGGAACGAAACGAATCGCATAGAAACGGAACGGAACGATCGAGGATGGGTGGTTGTCTTGGCTCTTGGGGATCGATACCGATCGTGGGGGTTTCTGCATTCGCTTCATTCGAGTTCAATTTGGGGCGTACATACTCGTATATTTTAATCTATAAACAATAACAATCCCGACACATACATACATACATATACATACATATTTATTGCATATTGAATCGAACATATATTTGTATATATGCTCGTTCAGTGTTCAGTTATTGCTGAATGTTAATAAAACTGCGTGCGGCCCAAACTTGTTTGAATTGGTTTTCATTCTTCACTCTTTCATGAGATCTTTCTTCATCTTCATCTTCAATTGGTAGCCGTCGCCTACTCGGACACCCCCCGTTTTGATCGCTGCACAAACATTTCAATTAATTGTCCAATTCCCAATTGAAAACAATATGTGCGAAACGAAAACAAAAGTCTCAGAGAGCAGACAGCCAGAGAACCAGAGAACCAGAGAAGACGAAAGCATTAAATTAAACATCAAGAGCTCGGCGGAATTCCGAGTTCCGTATTACGATCGAGAGTTGGGAAATCTATGTGAGAGGTAGCACTTAGCAGAGCACAGCCGAAGAAGCAAAACAAAACATGACTAATACTCGCACTGGTACTATATGGACCGGTAGAGATCGCCTGGGATCTGGGATTCTCTCAGCAACAGCGAAAGCAACCGCCTCAAGCTATTCTCGATCAGTGTGATTCAATACGATTCAGCCTGTCGCTGGAGATCTGGTGAAATTGAATGACTTAATATCAGACTGTTCAGAATTTTAGAATGATCAGTGGACAGAAACTCTAATGATAGGATGGGGATCACTTCTTGGATAAAATAAAAACGCAAATGTCCAAACGTGCCAAAATGGAAGGGATCACTTGGAGATGGAAGTCACCTTAGACTTCTTCTGAAAGATCACTTTTATCTGATGGTTCAAGTGGGTAGAATAAACGGTAGGCTCTTCGGCGGAGGCCCATCCGGCGAGGATGGGGATCGTTTTGGAGGACAGGTGTTGTTTGCTGTCGCGTTTTACCCGTTCAATATTTTACGAGCAATTTGAATGCTGTTATTGTTGATTCGCTTTTCTTACGTGTTTCGCGGGCGGGCGACAATTTAGTTTGCATAATTAATTTATGCACTTTTTTAAATTTTATTTAAAGCCCTTACTCTGTATTTCAAGCGGGGGAAAAGAAGCCATCGGATCGGATCGCATCGAATCAGATCGGATCGGAACGGAACGGATCGTATTGGAATAAAAATGTGGAATAATGCCCCTCTGGGAAACCAGAAAATAAGATCGTTTCGTTTTGCATCTTAATCTTATTTACGAGTACGAGTACCAGGAAGACGCGAAGCCAATTGAATCTCAATGAAATTCGAAGATGATTCACGATCCACAACCCCGCATCACATTTATCCTCTTTGGGCAGGCTATGCATTTGGATGGGTATAGGACTAAAAGGGATTGGGATACGCACCTACTACTGCTGTCTTTGTTGTCGTCCTCGTGCTGGTCGTCGTCGTCGATTTCGCAAACTTAAACGTTTTTCTGCCCTCCGGACCTGGATGAAAGTGATGCACGTGAACGGCACTCAGCGGTTAACGGATTGGGAATACGGATGCGGATACGAATACGGATACGGATGGTGTTCACTGGTTGGAGGAGCTCCACGCGGCTCCAAGAGCGAATGGACAATGCGTTCCAAGTGGCGTCGGGGCGGCTCTTTTATAATCGGCAGCGGCACGCCACAGTCCCTGTCCGTCCGCCGGTTACGAGTGTCCGCCGATTCCATTAGTTTGTTCACTGTCTCTTTGTTTGGATGCTGCTGGCGCTCTCTCCCCTATCTCTCTCTCTGATTCGATCTTTGAGTGTGTCTCTCGCCCCATCCCCATCCCATCCCCGATGCCCATCCCCGATGCCCATCCGATCGGTGTGTCCGCCACTCTCGGTGGCGCTCGGTTCTTGTGTTGTGTGCTCTGGTTCTTGCTCTTGACGTTATCGCCAATGGATCGCGCAAAGCAACACCAGCAGCACCACCACCAGAAGTCGAAGGCGGAGGCGGAGGCGGAGGAAAAGGCAGAAAGCTATGGCAAAATGGAAAATCTGAGGCAAATGGGAAGAAAGAAGCAGTACGTATACCAGTAGCCGAGGCATCGTTGTGGTCGCACTTCGATGCTTATCACTGCCTACCCGCTTCGCTCTTATCAGACAGGGCCAGCCTCTGGCTTTTGCAATCGCACAAGCCCCGACCACACCACAGGGGAGAGGGGTGTTGGCAATCAAAAAGTGCACACAAAAACAAGTACCGAAAATCTGCCAGGAATTCCAGAAATGATCGCATACGTAATAGCCAAAAAGGTAGCCAAATCGGGTTCAAATCGGATAGAGTATGGGAATCGCTTAGAAACCAGCAAAAACCAGGAACATCTAAACGTCAAGTAAGAACTATTTATGATTACAGCTCCAATCGTATTTAAGATGCAACACCTTAATCGGTTCTCAGTCCGCTTCGAACCGGTTGACTGTTGACTGAAGGTGTTTCAAAAGCTATTCCAGTGACTGCTTTGAAATCTCTTGCTTGATCTCTGGAATCATGATCTTGGATCGATATTGTCCAGGAATATCAGAAATACGCAGCCATACGAATATACCCACATGAATGGTTATGTATATGAGTGACTTTTGTGTCTCTATAGTGTATAATATGTGGAGCCATATCGGTACATACATATTGTATGTTCATCTTGTGAGGCTCTCTGGCTCGCCTCCTCCTCGCATGTGTCGTCGGTTGTATTTGCGTGCTTGTGGTTTGTCCACACCACCGTCTCTGTTCGCCTCGTGCCCTGCCCTGCCCCGGTGGCGGCAAAAGATCTACGTAATTTTTGTCATTTCATAAAAAAACAACGAAAAAAAGAAGAAACAAAACTGTTTTTGTGTGAGCAAAGTGTTTTTCCGCAGCCCCATAGCCATGGAATTGAATCGAGAGCACGTCCAAGCTCAGCGAAATGATTATCGTCACTTTTCCACAGGCATATGTTCTCATATGCTGGGTAGTTCCGATATCGTTCAACTTTGGAACAAAGCAATCACATATCAGTGGCTGTTTAAAGTGGATTTAGGGATTTATTAGCTATAATTCGGAGTGCGTGTCCCAAAGTAGGAATAGGTAGCACGAAAAAAGGGCATATTTCTGGGCCACTCAGACTCAGAGATCTTTCGGAGTATGTTTTTCTTTAGTTTTTAAATGTAATTAAAAATGCTCTGGGAAGAGGACACAATGGGAGGTGTTCCGAATATTCCTGAGTTTTTCAGAGTAATTAGGACTATTTTGAAATGCCAGCAAATGCAAAATGTCGGAATTATAATTCGGAGTCGTCATTAAAGTAATTAGGAGTGCTTTCTAAAAAAGAAAAAGACAGTTCGGCTTAAATAAGAGGTATTCCATATAATTCGGAATAGCTTAAGATATCGAAAAAAATCGGATATAAAATTCGGAGTCGTTTAAAAGTAATTTAATGTAATGGGGAGTGCTCTCCGTAAAGCCTAGAGATGGTTCGGTATTCTATATAACTCGGAGTAATTCGGACTTATTCGGAAAGCTTTAAATGCAAGCAAATGCAGCCAGTTGTGCTAAAAATAAAGAGCATCGTATTTTTGTCACTCTTTCGAAATTTCGGAATCAAGTAAATGCAAATATTGGCCACACGGATAGGCAAATATTGGGCCACAAGCAATCTGAACTCATTTCGCTCAAGTTCAGAGCTGTTTGCCCAGTTGTCAGCTGTCAACGCTGGAGGGAGCCCCTCTTCTAGTCTTCCCGTCACCTCTCCGGAGCGGCTGTCAACCCATGTGACCGGAGGCCCATCCGTAACACCGCTGCTCAAACAGATTTCGGACAGCTTAGCGCGTGTCCTTTGACTGCCACTCGTCTGTACATTGGACACCATCAAAGTCAAAGTCAACGTGTTGTCCCTTCCAAAAGAAGATGTTTGCTTGCGACGAGATCTCTGCGTACACTCCAGTTGGAGTCGGCTGACGTCAGTGGAAATGTGTGTAGACTTTATGATGCTGCGGCTTAGGGTCTGTTGATGTATTCTCTGATTTATGGGTCACCCACACACCAGAATGCACATGGTTACGTTGCTCTTATCAGCGAAAAAGCAGAAGTAAACTGTTTACCAGATATAAATCTGCGTGGAGAGTGGATCTCCAGCAGATCAGAGGCATGGCTAGAAGGTACATGGGCTTGTATCTATCCACCAGTTAGTCTTAGCTCCAGACAGCTCTGTCAAGGTCCAGCTCGAAAGTATGCAACGATCGATCCCCAATACTGGCTTAACTATGAACATCGAAAATCTGCATAGCCCGCTGTAAACCCCATCCTTGGAGATCTGGTGAAGATCTTACGCTTGGCTTGGCGGCCTCGTAAAGCCGTCTATCTTTAGCTTTATGATCTGTCATTTGATGAGAAGCAACATTATAACGATCAAAACATCAACATTATAATTGGCTTAGCGGGGATTTTTCTTGATACCTTTCGGGGCTCCTCTGACGCACACAGATCTCGGTGTCTCGGTATCTCGGTATCTCAGAGTCACGTGAATGCAAACTGCCATGTCACTTTCGGCTACGCAATGTCTATGGTCCATTTGGTGCCCCGCACCATGGCACCATCCCTCTTCCCTCATTCCTCATTCCTCATTGCATGCCCAATAACAATTAAGACAAGGGGAAAAGTACGAGATCGAGTCTCTTCAAACACACTCCGAATGACAAAATACATACAGGCAACCGATTGGTTGCCGTATGACTAAACATGGGACTTAAGCAGAAATCAATTCAATTTCAACCAAATCAACAACCAGAAGAGCCCGAAGAACACTCTCCAGTCGCGCCAGTAGCCAGTGTGAACCGGTTAGAACCAATGACAATCAACCCGCTGAACCTTTAAGGCGGCAACGTCATCGGTATTACTCGTAAATAAGAACTGGAACGGCGATAGTTGGAGATGTGCGTGCTCTATGTTCAGCTCTATGGTTCATTTGGAAGCGGAAGCTGGATGAATGCATCGATCCGAATATGTACAGATGACATTAGATAAGCTGACTTAAGTGAAAATATATTGTCTCCAGTTGCCTTTTAAAATACTATTTCTTAAATTAGAGCGATCGTTGATCTTCTAGAAAACAGGACATGCAGCACCGTGATAAGCCTGCTCTGTTGCTGATCTCTATATTCATGCTTTGCATGGCCCGTTTAGCAGATAGTCTTTCTCGTTTAGTAGTCTATTACCCCTCGGGTTGGGACCACTCCTTATAGACTGGACTCTTCTAATCCTTTTAGCCCTTACGCGTCTGAAACATGGTCCTAAACGATATTTGATTAACTTATATAGACATATGTATTTATTAGCGGTTCGCGAAACTAGTTCCACCCAACAATGAACTGGAACAGCCATATCTATGGGCCCCCAGGGTATGGCATCAATTGGGATATGTTTTGTGGGGGAACGCATCGAACGCCCGGCCGAGGGACTGAGGGACTGAGGGACTGTCACTGTCTGCTTGAGTGGGTTTTGGTACGAGTATCGGTGCAGAGATATTTCTATACCTAACAGGTTTGTGGCGCCCGGCAATAATGATATCCACCAATAGAAATAACACCATCCATTCGGACAATACATGCTGTTGCTCTATGCAAATAGATATATGAAGCAATTGTTTTGGTTTGACATTTGTTTTTGTTTCTGTTTCTGTTTTTGCTTTTGTTTTGTTAGGGTTTTGTTGTCTGAGTGTCTCCCGGATAATGCATGCAGGTAATTCTGGTAGTTGGAAATTTGATTTAAAACTTTTACAACTTGATTCTTCTCACTGCTGTGTACCTGGCTGAGGGCTACTGTCACTACCGTTGCTACTGTCGTTTGATACATTAAATAGTCTGATAAGTACGTGATTAACAAGCCTCGAAACACGAGCCAGTGGCAGCGAAGGGCCCATAAAGGTGGAAAGGAAAACAAATGAGGGTCTCAGGCTGATAGCACTGCAGGGGCTTTTCCCATTAATTGATAAACAAACCACTCGGGAAAAGGACTTAGATTATAATCTACATAGCTGTAGATAGAGAGAGAGAGAGAGAGAGAAAGAAGATCTGGTTGAAGGGTTTTCCACACAGGCGTGTCGGGGTCACCATGGAAAAGGGCCTCCCCCTCTGATTACGTGCATCCCATCCACCTTGGAGCACTTGTGAGCACTAGATGAACCTTCGCATTGTTGGATACCGCCCGCGGGTATCCGCCATTCAGAGCATTGCAATTATGCAGCTAATTGCACAATTAAAACAGTTGCCTTGCTCCGATGTGGTCTGTAGTTCTCTGATCTGCTTTGTTTCGCTCGATTCGCGGTACCTGTACGGCCAGCATTCACTGTATTCGTGCATCTACATCTGCGCACGTACATATGTATCTATCTGTATCTGTATCCGAATCAAAGAACTTTCCGCTGATTCAAACCAATTCGAATCGGTTCGAGCCAAAATGAACGAAGGCAAGGCCCACACAATACGAAAAACAAATAAATAAATACATACGAGTAATTATTGCGAGCAGAATCTTGATGCGTGTTATTTTAAGTACAATATGCGTTTGGGGTTGGGGTGGAAACCTACCCCAAGATATTTGTTTTGGGC